TAGGAAGAGCGACTAAATTAAGCTTTACAGTAGCTTGGTGAAAGACTACCATCAACCAGTAAATATTGAGAAAAAAAGATCCATATGCTTTATGTCTTCTTCTTAGACAAGTCTCTCATAATTCAATGACCTTTTAAAATTTAACATACTTCAAGGCTTTTAAAAATAACAACTGAGAAAAATATGTCTAAAATGAAATTTATTTCCTGGTAAAATGTTTTGTAAGTCATTATCTTGTAAGGAAGCAATCGGGCCCCAGACTCGGACACCAAAACATAACAGGATCATTGTAGTGAATGTTATTAATAGGAGGAACATGAAATATTCATTTCACATAGGTAATAGCCTAGTCTTGCATAAAGAATACGGCACGAAATGATTTTTGCCTATGAACAAAATTGCAGACAGCGAAATAATAGTATAAGTTTCAAATACTTTCCGTTTTAGACCTTGCGTGAACAAAAACTTTTAGTGCCTTTATCTTGAAGAAATTAATACACCATGCTTCAGGGACTCTAAACCTTACTGCCTCTCTAACAATTGTTCTATCATTCGAAATTGGTTATTTATTAATGAATGGAGTATTATAATAATCATCTCGCAAAATAATAAAATGTTATGCTGATGTCAATGCCTTCGGCTTCAACTATTTAGGAGATTCGATCAGCCATGATAATGATTACCTCTAATGCTGACTTTAATTGATTTAATTTTGTTACAATTTTATTATAATATCTTTAATACGTATAATTTAGAAAATTTATCCATTTTGATTTTATGAAATAAATTCTGCGCCATTTTAAGTTTCGATTCTATTGTACTAACTACTTCCATTTTAATCTCGCTGATTTTTATTCGCATTTATGAAGCATACTCGAGCTTAAAGGCGTTTACCGTAAATCGCTGAATCAAATTATGTATTAACATCTATCATAAGATACATTTTCCAAGAAATAGAGTCATCATGAAGAAATTTTCATTTTGCATCCTAAACTCTTAAAACTCTTATCGCCTAGTATAATTAGACACCATATATAGCATCATCATACTTAATGTTCTATCTATCTCGTTATAAAATATCATATCGATATCACTGTCATAATTCAAGAAAAATTCGTCTAAGTTGATTCCACATGAATTTTTAATAATTTGTTCTACAAGTATAGTCTTTAAACGGTTCTCATTCATGGCGATAAAATATAGAGTGACAAAGACGTCCATACGGTAATGTTGTAAATTACTAAAGTTAGGAAGTGTAGCAGTTACTAGAACGTCGATTCTAGACAAACACAATCGCTAATTCAGGTTATTTAAACTAAATCTATTTGGACCATTTAATCCGCAAACAAATTACTAGTTTTTATATTCAGGTCTTTAATTACCGTAAAACAAAAATTTTTTCCTCCATATTTAAATAGTAACTGATGAATAACATTTTTATCGATTCTACGGATTGTAAATTTTTAGAAATACTGGTAGCTATCTCCGTCACCTTCACTGCGGGTTTATCTGCTATATCGTAGTCAATATCGCCAATAATGAATTCTTATATATTAATGATACTGCGCAGTGAATACCTGGAAATAACAAAGTCCTCCCGAACATATTGATACGTTAATAATACTTTTAATTTTAGAAACATTTTTGGTGAATAACCCCGGTCAATTGATTTTGTCTGTATTAAACTGCAATTATAAGAGGTACAATTACCAGAACTTCGGTTAAATTATCATCTTGAAGCATTATTCTCCGATGAAATGTCTCGTTTGTTTTATTTTTGACTATTTCAATTCTTTGCTGAAATTTCATTATCAACAGCCGAAAATAGAATCAGTCTAACATTAGAAGCTAAAGTGACAACTTTCAACATTCTCTCATCTGATATAAATAGGCATTAATGCCTTAGCGACAGTCCTTAATCTGATATTGATTCTTCACAATGATTTTCTGAACTTAAAAGAAAATTATTTTTAAGACGTGTTGAATAAAGTAAGATTAAAATACGCGTACAGTGACAAGTGAGTAATAAGACACTGTACCTGTAAATTCGCTCCTAAAGGTAATTATGGAATAGGTAATAAGGTTATTTTGGTTAGCGAGCAAGCTGAAATAGTCTCAATTGTAGACTAAAACTCCATATTTACAGCTAAATTATTAAAATACCCTTCAAAAAACCAAACAATGGCGATACATTCGTAGTCACGTTCGTAAACCTAATCTAAGTATCTAGGGTAAAATTTTTCAATATCTTATAGCAAACAATGTCGAGATAGTCGCAATTATTTGACTTAACTTTGGCTTTCATGATGAAATCATGGAATACCTTGAAGCAAAACAATACCGACATAGTCACAATCTTAAAATTAATCTCAGGGTTTATAGTAAAATTAATTAATACCTTAGTGCATCAGATCTAAGAGTTGCTCAAGAAAGATATTTCATCCAGCTGTACGTTACCTAATCTGAGATACCTTCCCTAGATTTAATTTTAGCGTTAAAACTGTTAGGCAATCTCTGCAGAGAAATCAAACTTTTACCATTTAATTAACCAATTTCTTAATACTAGTAAAATATGTTGACTTATGCATACGGATACAGCGTTGAATCTCTCAAAAGGCTGTAAAATCAACTTACTAATTCTAGTGAAACTTATACAACGGATGCTTTCGCATCTGTTGCTGCAAACTTTTTATTACTGTTGATCAATTCCCACTTTAACAAGTAGATTGTTACGCCGATACTATCTCACCGCAATGCGCGATGCTTAGCGAAATAGTTTACTTATTACATTACAAAACATTTTATACTTTAAACGCCTTGTACTGTAATACGTAATCGTAACTAATTCCAACTAATTTGGAATTATAGTTAATTATTAAAAGACACTTATTGTGCTAATTGTACTAATAAAAGTGCTTAATTATAATTTCTTAGCTAATACGTCTAGTGATGTAATATTGTACGTGACTAATTCATATTCGATTATTGTTAAAAATCTCCTTTGTAACAAGAAACCGGGTCTTAAAGACTGTCTTCACTAGTACTCGTGTTCCCAACTAACTTAGGGACCTATCGTAGTTAAACTAACTCTCAGCTACACAAATAAGCTACTAATGAGTAATAGATTTAAATACTTCACTTTGTTTTCGTTAAACTTAGTCGTAAAATGTACTAAAGAAAAACGTACGAATATTCTTAGCAATAATAGTCAAAAGATCCTGCAAGTGACCAACTGGAACTAAACAGCTAAGCTAGTGTTCGGCTTTTTATAGTCTCGTCCAACGCCGATGGTGCACTTGTGAATATTCTTGACATAGCGACTTACACTGTACAGTATACATATCCTAGCATAGCAACTAGAGCCTCAAGGCTCTACAAAGTAATTGACTTTACACTTAAGGTGTTATTAATTAACGTTTACTGACTAAGCGTGGTAGCTCCGACACGTCAACAATATTGAACTTTCTGATATCTTGGCAATAAGAAGTACTTATTAATAAACATTAATATCTGACAAGCTACTGGAGCAAACAATAATTTAAATGAGATATTTTAATTAATATAACAATTAATATTTCGGAGCATAGCTCTTTAACAATTGTATATTATGGCTTGGCGATCTTGAGAGTAAGCATATTGTAATCAAATTGCCTCGTATGATATTAATTAGGTCTTAGGGTATAAATTCACTTCCTAATTACATAAATGCTATCGATACTAATTGTAAGTTCTAACTACCGCAAAAATAAGGTACCATACATAAGCTCAACTGTTTTTACAATAAAGTTTACCTTCATTGTAGTATTTAATTAACGTAAAATTAAAGGCGTACCAATCACTGAGAATGTACTGAATTAGGGATAAGTGCTCCCAACTGACTTTTAGATATACTTTAATGCCCTGACAAGTACAATAATTTAAGGAGAAAATTTATTTATAGATTTCACTTTTTCGCTATGTAATCGTAGAGTTGGTTTGTGGTAATTATTCATTCGCAGATCTTTGTAGATTTGCTATGAGTCCACCGTACGAGTATACAAGTATATACCCTGGAAATTGTAACTAATTGGTAACCTTATTACATGCTGAATATTTAAGTATTGCTGAATAAACAAAATTGATATTGCAAACTTTAAAAATTATGATACAAATTACAAACGGCAAGGCTATCCTCGTTATCTAGCATTAAAGTATTCGTGCCATGGCTACCGATTAAACTGGACCATAACTTCGAATTGCTTATTTCAGATTTCGAATTAAGTTGGGATCAATCTATCTAATTCCTCTTTTTTATAGTCACTTATGGTCACGACCAGTGCAAGTCAGTTTCCACGAATAAAAATAAATGCTGCAGAGATGGAAATAATTTAATATGTCAGAATATTCTACCTTTGAACAATTCTGATGCAGGAAGAAATATCTCTAACGCGGATACCTTACTTCATTTGTAAGTTTTTAGATACACAAGTTTATCAGCGAACATTTAAATACGCTTAGCAAGAATGTTCAGGCATAGTTTAAGTAATTTTTTACCTTGTTTTTAATATAATAATCTTTCAGTATTATATAGCTAGAGTATATTATGCAATACCAGATGGAAATACCATTAATTCTAGTGTCAAACATTACTACGTTTTTTTATCCTTTTGTTGTGATAGTCTAAAATTACTCGTTGGCTTTGCTAAATATGAAATTACATTCCGTGAACAATTAAATTACTTAATGATATTAAACCTATAACTTACATCTAGAATGATTCAGAATGTGAAATTAAACTATTTGGATACGATCAGTTCCTGTCACTGCTATCAATCTATGTAAGTATTAATACTGTTTTCGTATGTTTGATGCCACGGAAAATGCAACGGTAATTGCAATACTGCATTTGCTCTAAATTTCAGAACTCCGATTTGTACTGCTGATTACTATATAATGACTGCTTAAAATTTAATAATATTTAATAAATTTTCTTCATAATCCAATCTTCATGTTGACGTAGCATGTTCCGCAAAATTGATGTCAACATTATTGATGGCAAAGCTTTTGACAAATGCACGAACTTAAAATCTTTGTAAGTCATTAATTGCCCAATCCACTTTAGTAAATATTAATAGTTATATCGTACTTCAGTATAGGTGGAAAAGTGTTACTTGATGACAAATGCTATTTAATTGCATTTCAATTGATATTCAGCTCTCCTTCGTTCTGTCACTAGAAAATTTCGATATTCTAGAATTAATAGCATATTAGCTAACACATTCTCATCCATCTTAAGCCTACAATCATTGTAAGTAGAAGGTATCCTAGCGAAATCAGGTCTACTTGAAATCTAAATATCATGAATAAAACATTTAGTTTATTAATAATAGACATGCAATTTAAATTACATAATCACATCAATTTTCAAAGTTATAGCAGTTTAAAATCAAGTAAAAGGCAAGCGTATACGATGTTGCATAGATAAATTGTACTAATCTCTTACCTTTAAATTTTAGAGAATTAATTGATGTTCGTATTGGTAACGAAATAACGCTAGCTTTCGATAATTTAGCAAATCTTACCAACATGTAAGA